ATATTTTTATTTAATTAAATAATTTGAGGTTTCAGCGTGCATTTTGCTCAAATTCATCCGCCTTTCTCAAATATACTCAGCACAGGTACAAAACAATAAATAAAGTTCAATTCCTCATTAACAGGTGTAACTACAAGAAAAATTAACCATTGATCTCATCAATATCATCATATATATGATCACCCATTTTACTCTAGATCTAGAAGGAGTAGTAATTCAGACTTTATTAAAAAGAATTGGAGATGGTTAAGAATTTGATGAATATATTACCAAGCTTCTGAGGAAATATGGATTCATCATCAAGCTGAGCTTCAATCCAGTCCATTAGATATTCAACATATTTTGGAGCAGAAACTTCAATAGGTTTCTTAATTTGCACACCATCTGCCCATCTATATTCATACCTGAAAAGTTCTTTATGGCATCAAATCATGAACTCCAAAAGAACTAACATATATAGAAGCATGAGTTTAAAAAGGAATAGAGCACTCAAAGGGTAAGATAATGTGGATAGCTGCTCTATATGTGACTCACACTGACAGGCAGTATTAAAAGCACAAAAGATTAAAAGAAGCAAAAAGACCTTGGGGAAAGGATCCTCCGTTCAAAGTTAAATGTCTAAATATTCTTTTAATATCATAAATTTATCACGCTTTGATATATAGCAAATTAACTTGAATTTTTGGGGCACAAGCCAAATGAGGAGATCATTAAATCTAAACATTGACCGAGTAAAAAGTTGAAATCTACAAAGAGATATATCAATGGCGTAAACAAGGTTGACTTAATATCCATACTTGGGGCCTGCAGTCATTGTAGGACAATTCTCGGGGATACAGAACTCTGTGAGGGTACCATAGAGCAGGTTCACTTGATTGAAGAAATCCACAGCTGAAATAGAAACATGAAACAACCATACTTCAGCAATATTCAGACAAAATTTGGCAGAAATATAGAAATAGGGGAAGAAAAGATTTGAAAATGAGCTAATTAAAGGCATATCTATCACAGAAGTCGTGGTTGCAATGAATAACATGGAATTCATGGAAATAAACCAAATATGCAGGTGAGCCAACATAAATAAATAAAAAATCAAATATGCAGCTGAAGAAATTATCATGTGCCATTCACAATATCAGAGAGATAGAGAGTTACTGTTGACAGCAAGCCACTCATTTAAATCCTCTCCAGGTGGTAGTCTTACAGCTTCCCTAAGATTTCCACTGCCTAGAGTGGCATCAATATGCTTTCTGAGCTGTGCACCCTGCATTATGTCAAGGATGAAATAGTAGAATGAAGACTAAGGAGCACTACAGGAAATCACTAATATAGCAGAATGAACCCCTAGAACAATAAATATGACAGCGTAACAGAAATGTTAACTTGTGGAGCCAACACAGGAAGACAGGACAAAAACTGCAAAAAAGGCTACTTCATCATTACCAAGAGCCATTATACAGCAATACTTGCCAAGTTTACATGTAGATAATAAAAAAATTATCACATGTAATGTGTGTGCACAATGCTCTCACATTCATGCACTTGGTCATATGGCTTCACAAGGGGGACCCACATAAACAACGCTATTGTTTATGAAAATTGTTTTTGGATTAATTACATTATTACATCTTAAATCTGAAAGGTATAGCTTGGAAGATTACTTTCTAAGTAACAAAGCTGAAAATGGATGGTAAAATGTTCCCTTATTCCATACAAATAGTCAAGGAGAAAAAATTAGCAACAGGTAAAAGAATAAAATTATTGTCAGTCAAGACACCAGAATGAATATCCACTGAAATTCATTAAATAAGGAATTCAGGAAGTGTAATCTTTTTGGCTTTGTTTTGCCAATAAAATCAAATTTTTAGGATTGTTGATATTTTCTTCCTTTACATTTACTGGTGGTAGGTGCTAAGGTTCAGTCTTTCTAAAGGAAAAGAGCATTATTGTTTCTTGTTTTTGGTGCTTTATCCCTTTAACCGAATCCATTTGCTTCCAAAAATAGTTTACTCCTACCTAAGAAATAATGTGTTTGTGTTGGGCAAAGGAAATCATGGTTTACAAATTCAAAAGAATTGAGAAAGTCACATTTAGATATGAAAGAAAAAGATGTGTAACATGATCAATTTTAATACTGACCTTGCTTCCTGTGGGTGCACTCTTTTTTGGGCAGAACGTCCTTTGGTTTCTGATTTAAGGCAATTTATCAGGAAAATGCATTAATGAACAAGATACAAGAAGATTACAAGACAATAATAGAAAAATTGAAATACCATATCAAGTACAACTTCTAACTTTTTCTAAGTAAAAGCATCATCATCATCATCATCATCTTCTTCTTCTTCTTCTTCTTCTTTTTATTCCAGCATCACTTGTACCTGATTAAGGCAAAATGCTTGATACAAAAGAAAAATGCTTCTCCCTTCAACCCTTTTTAACCCTATTCTTTCTCACCTCACCCAACATTGGATGTAATCTTTAATTCATCATTGGCAATTTGTTACTTTATAAAAATCAAGTTCTTGATACCCTCTCTTCCTAGAAGAGAAAAATCCCTTCTACAATATTACCAACACGGTAAGAGGAAATATTTTTCGACAATTATTACCTTAATGTATAAGCTGCATTCTTATGGTGACACCTAATGATAGAATGAATCACACAAGACACATGGCTTTTAAACTAAGAAGTTTCGCGCCCCCATAAAGAAGAAATCAAAACAAAGTTACAACTTCAAACTTATCATGTTAATCTATTAACAACTTTATCAAGAGTACAAAATCAAACTCAATAGAACATAGCAACAGGTTATGGCCCTTTAGAAAAAAAAAAAAAAGGTCCTAGCTTCCTGGCTTCTGAGATTGGTGAAGTTTATACAAATTATCTAGTTTTCCCATTTCACTGTAAACTCAACACAGAACCTACACTCATGCACTTAAAAACAATGCCAGACTTACATCCTTCCTCAATTCCCTGACTTACCAAATCCAAGATTGTAAATTAATTTGAACACAGAAAAAGAAAAAAAAAAGAGAGAGAGAGATTGCTTGATCGCATCACAGATCTGATATAACTAATCTAGAACAGGGTGAATTGAATGCAGAATGCAAAAATCTAAAGGAAAAAAGAGCAATTAAACAAAACAAAAAGGGTGGAAAAAATGGGAAATTGAAAGGATTATCTGCCCAAACCGAAGAGACTCGTGGCTGCAACCGCAATGAAAGCTTGACCTTGCTTCCTTTCTTCAGGTGAATACGGGGCCAAGGTCTACGTACTTTTATTTTTTATTTTTTATTTTTTTGATAAAATGTACTTTTATTTGTTTTTCTTCTAATTATTGTTCTTTACGTAGGTTTTATTAAAAAAATAATTTTAGGAATTAGGACTATGCCAAACGTTTTTTGTACCTTGTGCTTTGAAGGTAGTACCTCAGAGTTTTTCTTATTTATTTTCAAAGTGTTACCGCATTAACTTTTTAATTACCACACTATTTCCTCTTAATGTGATCTTAAAAGGCACGCATAACCGAATGGCCCGGCTCAATGACACTGAACTTTGGATTGAGGTTGTTCATTTTTGTAGGTGACATATTTGAGTTTCATGGAGGTCATTTACTTCTTTTCTCATGTATACTTGTAAATAATGTTAAATTGTTTATAAAAAAAAAAAAGACGCATAACTGCCAGTAGCATTAAAGAAGAAATAGTTTTCTTGGGTTAGATAAGGGAATAAGATGTTGGTTTTATTATTAATATTTATGTAACAATATAGTATGTTTGAATTCAAAAAAGGACAATGATATACAAGATAAATAAAAGAGACGAATTTTTAACACCAATGATGTGGGAGGTCACATTGTTAATATATTAATTTTAAAAAATTTAAATTAAATTATGTTTTCTTGTTTATCTTTTACCTTTTTTCTGATTTTTTTTTTCTCTTTCCAAATCTCCTATCTTTCTCTCTCATCCCCTCATTTTTTGCCAAGCTCCTCCATTGTGTGGAATCCTTGTAACAACCCCACCGAAATTCTCCGTCTTAGCAATTTGAAATTTTCTCATCCTTGCCACTGTTGCTGGCGGTGCCGCCGGCAAATACTCCATTTCCAACCCCTTTACTATAACTGAGAAATTTATGATCCTGTTCTGTTGCCTCGTCGCATCCCACAACCTGAAACTTAAAAACTAAACCCTAACCATTTGGTAAAATTGAACCCTATTTATGAGAAACCTTAAATCTATACTTAGTCTTTGCAAGGGGATGAGAAAAATAGAGACAAATGATGAAGGTTTGGAAGAGAGAGCTTGGATTTGGATGAAGCTGTAACAAAGAAAAAATTACAGAGAAAATAGGGAGAATGTGTGAAGGAGATGAACGGTAGACCCTTTTTAATATTTATTAAAATATATGCTGAAGTGGCATGCCACCTCATTTTCGTCCTCCGAAACCGTCCATTATTTTTGTTTTTTTCATCATTATTCTTCAAAAAATAAATAAAAAAAAATATCCTCGTAATTTAGTAGTCATCTCTCATTTTGTAGTCATCTCTCATTTTCATACTAATTTAGGGTTTGAATCTCATCTTAATATTAAAAAAATAATAATGATAATAAAATGGAGGGAGGAATTTTTTGCAAAATTGTAGACTAAATTGTAAAATAGAAACACTTAAAATTATACGGTTTGCATAACAGTTTGCTGTGTCTTTATTTTTACGTTGATGGTGATGTAGTAATGGAAGCGATTTTAACGGGAGAAGATCCAGGAAGAAGCTCCCTGCCTGCCAGGCCAGGTAATAAAGCAATTCTGAGGGCGGCTAGTCAGAAAGTCAAGTTAACAATCAACTAGTCCCACTACAAGCTCTACCAGTCTACCTCTAAGAAATTGACAAGTTTCTTCCAGGCAAAACCCTCCCACGAAGTCTTTGAACCTGATCTCACAAGCTTAATTAATTGAGTCTCGCGAACGGGACTTAGTTTCAATGGTTCGTCCAAATTTTAGTGTTTGGTTGAGGTGGTGGTTAAAACTTTAAAATTTATTATTGTCGTGAATTCTATCAAAAAATAATTTGATGATCGCACGCTTCATTTGAGGAGATGAAATATTCACTCAATCTGAGAATCCCAGTTGTTAACAATTAACTCATATTAACTTTCTAACCATTACCCTTGTAAAAAAAAAAAATAATTGAGTTTTTGAACTTTTTTTTTTTTTAAATAGATAAGCATCTTAATCTTACTATTTTTGTAATTTAACTCTTTTTTTTTTACGGGAGATTGTTAAATCGTAGATTAAAAAAACAGTAAAAAAATAAAATTGCACAAATTATAGAGTTTAAGCCTCAAGGGTTTTTTTTTTTTTTAATTAAGAGTTCAATTAAAAATATTAGCTCAATTTAGGGGCTAAAAGTGAGATTTTACCTTTCTTCAACCCGCATTCGATCCGACTAAGTTGAGTTGAGTATCAAATTGAGTACGAATTTCAGTTTTATTATTATTATTAAA